GTCGAGGCGGAGGGGGCACTGGGCGGGCGCTGGAGCCGCGGGAGGGCGCTGAGACGGCGCGGGTGAGGGGGCGGAGCGGGGGGGGGGTGATGATGGTGATGATGATGATGGTGATTATGATGGTGATGATGGTGAGGATGATGGTGATGATGATGATGATGATGATGATGATGATGATGATGATGATGATGATGATGATGATGATGATGCGGTGCCGAAATAAAGTGGTCGGAGCTCTAGACACCCTGTGCAAGAGAATAAAAAAAAGGAGTTGACAGAGCCAGTGTGAAGCACGACAGAACGCGCGACAAGCCCCAAGGGCGGTCTGAGAAACCCCAAAGCAAGCCCCCCGCAGAGGCCCGCGGAGAGCCACCTGGATGCGCCCCTGGCATGGGCGCAGCCCAGGCCCGCAACCTGTCAAATGACAAATTTGGCTGCGCTGGTCAACCCAAAACCACGAATCTCTCATTTCACCGATCCGGGCTGGCGAAGGTTCTGGGGGCTAAAGCTGCGCGCACCCCGAAGGGGAAGGCCAATCGACGCATGGCCGTGCCCCCGCTTGAGCACGCGCAACGACCGGCAGCGCAGCTGGCGCAGATCCGCGCCTGATGAACGCAAAAAAGAAATGTGCAAATATTAGCTGACGCGCCGAGGGACCCATCGACATTGTTGGACGGCCTCGAAAGATGCGCTGGATAAGGAAGATCGAACCGCGAACAAGCAACCAATAATATGCGGCCAAAGTTCCGGTTCGTGGTCCGTTTGAACAAACCGCCAACCGAGGGGCAAACGCATCGCGCCGCCTTCCACCGACAGAGATTTGCAAATGTCTGGCATGTTGGCCGTTCTCAAGGAGGCCAGCAGCATCTCGGGATGGCAATACTTACCTGGTTGGGGCTTTCGGTGAGAGCAGTAGGCAACAAATTTGAAGGCACACCACAAAATAATGTGTTACAGCATCTCAAACAGAAAGGACAACAAACCAATGATTAAAGGTAACCCGCCAGCAAGGCCCACACGAGAGGGCCCAGCAGTCAGCGACGAGCGCCAGATTATAGAGCCTCCCCGAAGAATCCATGGACCAAGGGCCGAGGCAGGCCTACTGCGACCCAAGCCGGGCACTCTGGACTCTCAGCCCTAGGTCCAGGAAACACCTGCAAAGTCCTCGCAGGACCACGCACCCTCAGGAGCTCCGTTCCAATGTGGGTCTTGGTGCTGGCGTCGGCCTTCCCACAATGCCGATGTCGAAAAGCCGGTGGCGGCACCCTGTGGACGCTGGTTGGGTGAGCGGGGTTCCCTAAAGCCCGAGGGAACGATGGGGCCACCGATCATCGCAGGCCCCATTGAGCCCGAAGGCCAAATCTCAAAACACGTGGGGCTCGTTGGGCCCGAGGCCTCATAGTGCACATTGGCCTCATGGGGCTCGCTGGAATGGAAGAGGTGGAGGGCCCGCGGCGCCCTGCATCTTTCTTCAAAAAGTTCGCTGACAGCGGGCAGACGAGCGCGAAGACATAGACGAATGCGTTCAACGGAGACTCGGGATTTTCTTTTCAAGAAGGGATCTTCTTGCTGGTGGTGTCGGGCTCCAGTGCACCGAGATTCGGATCGGAACGGCCTCGGTCGGGCGTTTGCGGCTGGCAAGACTGGGTTTAGTGGGACCTGGTTTAATTAATGTGTACCGGGGGACGCCCCCCCTCCACTAATCGAAACTGCCGTCACCCGAAGAAACACCAGCCACGGCAGGCTCGGTTGAAATGGTTCTGGCAGCGTCAGTGCCCGTGACCAGCCCCGCCCCCCCTACGCCCTCCCCCTGGTCTCGTCACGATTCGAGCCAGCGCCCCAGGCATTCCCAGACGGCACCGGCGCGAATCGTGACGTGAAAGGCCCCCTCCCCTCCCTCGCGCTCCCCAGTCACGCCTCGCACCACCAGAGGAAAGCAAAAAAAATGGCTCCAAGCAAGTGGGGTCTTTCGTAATGGGGCCGGAAAGCATGCAATAGTTCATCCTCACGCAATGGGGCTGATGGCGCGTGGCCTCTCTCACGGACAAACGATGCCAAATGCAACGCATTCTGCCCGCAGCCAACACGATCCAACACGAACGACTGCACGAAATATTGCGTACACTTTTGAGACCACCTCTGCGAAGGACTCACTAGCCTGAATCTGGCATCTCCTATATCTGAATCGGATCGGGCCGCATCGGCACGGAGTCGACAATGACTCGGACCGGCCGCGCCCAGCTAGCACAGCTGCGCCGTGCAGGCACTGGGCCGCTAGCGGATAGGCCGGGAACAACGGAATAAGACTGGGTCGCGCCGACTGGAGCTCAGCACGGGATCGAGTGAGGAAAGAAAGTTATCCTTTTTGGTCGGCGGCGACCTGGGACCAAGACGAGGTCAAGGCATGGCGTGGGACGCACGGCACGCGAATGTGGCACAAGGGAAGAGGACTTAAGGAGGAGGAGGAGGAGGATGAGGAGGAGGAGGAGGAGGAGGAATGGGGAGAAGGAGGAGGAATAGGGAGGAGGAGGAGAGGAGGAGGAATAGGGAGGAGGAGGAGAGGAGGAGGAGAGGAGGAGAGGAATAGGGAGGAGGGGGAGGAGGAGGAGGAGGAGGAGGAGGAGGAATAGGGAGGAGGAGGAGAGGAGGAGGAGAGGAGGAGGAGGAGGAGGAGGAGGAGAGAGGAGGAGAGAGGAGGAGAGAGGAGAGGAGAAGGAGGAAGGCGCGCGGGGAGCGGAGGCCGCACTCGGAACAGCATGGTTAGTCCTTGTGCGGGTGCCGGGAGCGCACGACGAGGCGCAGGCTGCAGGGCGTGCACAGCGAGGCGAGGCGCAAGAGAAAAGAGCAGCACACACTCGAATATGTAGGGAGGAGGAGTGCGGAAACCCAAGGCGATGAAGGCGCTATAGGTATGAGCGCGAGTCTTCGGACCCCGAGATGGGCTCCCGATCGAGCGGGGACCTCCATCTGACTTCACACACCCATACACCCCCTCCGGAATTCCAACCCGAAAATCTAGAAGTCAGGAGATGATCGAGACCGATCGGACCGCAGTGTGAGATGCTCATTCTGGGGGCCTTCCCAGAGCCATTCGCTCCACTCGTGCGTCGAAGCTGCGTCGAACATCCGTCGACTCGAGTCGTACTTGAGTCGAACCTGAGTCGAACCTGAGTCGAACCTGAATCGAACTTGAAAAGAACTCAGATCGAACAGATCCGTCAGGTGGGCCCCAGGAAGGTCCCCAAAACGAGCATCGAAGAGGTGGGTCCTGGCGAGGCCCCAGGCAGGCCACGCGCGGACGTTCCCGGAGGCTCTGTGCGGCCCACCCTCCCCGCCGACGCTGCAACTGTTCCGTAACGCTGGCACCAGGGGCTTCGACCACGGGCCCAAACTTTCACCTCGAGCCGTTCTGGGCGGTCACGGGGCCGGACAACTGCCTCTAAAGGCCGAGCACGTCGAAAAGCCGTCCGTCGCGATTGTTTGGCGTCGCACGGGTCCTGGGTGAGCCTCCATGGGAGCCGCTGTGGACCTCCGCGGCCCTATCATGACCGTGATCTGGACGGGAGCTCGTCCAAATCTAGACCACCCCTCTTCACCGTTTCGCCCAAGAGTCCGTCCAGATGTCCTGTCGAGCAAATTCGAGGAAATGATCACAACATTCCCAAAACCGGGGGCCAATTTCGAGGGAACCAACAAGGTACCAATACGGCTACTCCCTGGACCTCTCCTGGAGTGCGTTCTGACCAGGATTCCCAGGCGAATCCAGCGGTGGCGACGAGAGCCTCCCAGAAGACTCCAAAAAGAGAAAACGAGGCCATGGTAATGGTATGAATACATTTTCCTCCTCTGAAGTTTGGGACCCTCTGAGGCTCCCATGAAGACCCACACGATCGAGCCGTCTCTGGCGGCCTCAGGGCCAGACGGCGGTCTCTCCTCAGGCCGAGCTGGACGAGAAGCCAGCCGTCGCTGATGGGTCGACTTTCCACGACCACTACCATAGGTAGGAGAGGGAGGAGGAGGAGGAGGAGGAGGAGGAGGAGGAGGAGGAGGAGGAGGAGATCTATGGTAGTGGTGATGGAAAACTCGCCAATCATTCGCAAGTTCATGGCGTCGCCCGGGCCTGGCCCCGCCAGCATCAGCCGATCGAATCTAAGCGGATCGAAAAACGGCACAATGAACCGACGTAAGAAGGACGCACGATAAGGATGCAAGGACCTTGGAAGGCCATGTCGACACTTTGCGGGCGGGCCGCGGCCAGCGAAAGCGGCCGAAGATCGGCCGAAGATCGGCCGTAGCTAAAGCTGCTCATCCTTGATATGCGGGTTGACTGTCTCGAATCGGAATCGGTCCCGCCGAAGGCGCCGAGAGCGGTGTCGGATCGGATCGGGTCGAAGAATGAATTCAAAAAAAAACCGGATACACTCAAGACCGGGTTTTCACAGACGCAATGTTTTGAATTCATTCCCAAACCCCCGGATACACTCAAGACTGGGTTTTCACAGACACGATGCTTAGTTCTACATGGGCAACGTCCTGCGGGTTCCTCTTGACGGCTTCCAGCTTCAGCAGCTCGCGGATCAGCCCTTCGTGATCGTCCGTCTCCCACTCGCCGTCCATGAACGACTCTCCGAGGCCGAGGTCGCCCTCGGCCAGGGAGGACAAAGGAGGAGGAGGAGAAGGAGGAGGAGGAACAGGGAAGGGAGACAGGAAGAGGGAGGAGGGAGAAGGGAGGAGGGGAGGCAGGGAGAGAACAGCAGCAGAGGGGAGGAGGAGAAGAACAAGATAAGGAGGGCAGGAGGAGGAGCGCAGAGAAGCTGGAGGAAATTTAACATCAACTGCTGATACCTGCTTACTCCCTGGGGGGCGGTGAGACCCCCAGTGGACTGAGAAGGATATCAATCAAGCCGACCCCGAAGTGGACTCGCGATCTTCCTCTTCAACAGACTCGTGCCTGTAAAACCCTCCGCATTCCATGGGGCCCGAGGTTCCTCGACACCAGGCACGGTACCTGACGGCGCGGGGCTGGGAGTGGGACTCCCCCTCCCCCCGACACGACGAACTGGACGACCCAACACCTCCTCCATTAGTCAAAGACGCTGGGTTCGCGGTGGCCTGCAGCCGCCGTACGGCAGCCGCTCCTCTCGCCACCTGCTCTGGGCTCGGGTCCAGTTCCACACTGGCTACAAACTTCGCTCCAGGGTCCAGTCCAGGCGCAAGGACAGGAACCACAGTGTCGACCACGTGGGGCGACTCGATCCTCGGCGGGCGGCCCTTCAACACTTGTTGATCACAGTCTCCCAATGTCTGCTTGGATGACAGGTCGACACACAATTGCTCTTGGCCAACGACCATTGGTGAACGAAGGCTCCACAGTTGACACAGCAGAAACAACCCGAACCATGCGAATAGGAAAAACTGCCAGGCACATGACCCAGATCTTTCGGCTGCGTCCATGTCGTATTGACGAGAACCACGGCAACTCCCTGGCAGAAGCCTGCCAACGGCCCTGGACCCCGTACAGACAGCACAGCGCCAAACATTAGAGAAGCCAACCCAGACATGAGCCAGGGCCTCTAGAAGAACCTCGTTGGGCCTCTGACCAGGAGAGACCCAAGCGACATCACTGAGGTCTAGCCTAGGCCAGAGGGGGAGGAGTTTAGCGGCCAGTCTGCAGACCGACTTCGAAATCTTAACAAACCTGTCCACGCGCGCAACCTCGTCATCCGACGGCCGACGGTGGCACATGACTCCTGCTCGGGACATTGCCTCGCCTCTTGAACCGCTCGACCTCTGACAAATCGGGATCAGCAAGAGACAAGTGAGACTTGACATTGATCACCTCAGAAATGTGCTTCGAAGTGTTCACGTACCGAAACACACCAGCAGACATACGCGTGTAACAGAAACGCTGCTAAAGAGAGGGACATAAATGACCTACCACAACCGCACAGTCAGAATACACACGACACTCAGCTGAGGCCTGCAGGATGGCCACCGCCAGAGCCGTGAACTCGGCAGCAGCTGACTGGGGCAGCGGGTGGTGCAAAGGTCCAAACACAGGGCACAGCAGCTCGCCCTCGGGCGAAACCTGGTACACACACACACATTTCAGCCAGCTCTCCCGAACACTTCGACCCGATGATTGAAAAAGGACCCATCGCAAAGGTGCTCGCATGCACGTCCTTTTCCCTCCATATTCAGGATAACCCTCCGATCTGATCGATTCCCCACCGCGAGAGAGAGGTCTCGGCCAGAACGACTCGGGGTGCGGGAAGATCCCACGCGTAAAGAGGAGGTCAGAGGGAGAGAGATCCCCATCCGACTCGGCAAAAACTGAAGCTGCCTCAGGTTGCGCGCGCCCATCAGCACAAGCCACACAATACAGTAGGGGCGTTCACCTAAGGAACGATAAATCAGGAACGAAACCCCTTTTCTCCAGGGAATAACGCATACGGAACGATAAATCATACACAACGCATAAGGAACGATGAATGGAACGACCAAGCCCCTGTTGAAAAGTAAGCGTTCCTTATTCAAGCCGCTCACTGTACCAAGGTCGATGAAGCAGGCTGTTTTCAGCCTGGCCACATCGAACGCACAGACGAAGCTCTGCAGACAGTTGGTAACCTAAACGCGCCGCTCTCTCGGCCGTCCAGCAACCGTCGCAAGCCATACACCGAATAGTGCCCTTCTCGAGCGGGGTGTCCTTGGAGATCTTCATTTGGGCCTTGACCACATCAAAACACGCTCGGCCCCATCCGACCCCAAACTTCAAAGCCACCGAGATTTCCAGATTCCTGACGACAGCCTTCTGGAGGATCCCCTTGAGGAGCTGAGGGCTAACGAAAGTGAGGAAGAGGCCAACTCCATGAAGATCCCTAAAAGAGCCGAAAAGCTAGGCATAGTCCACCAAGACGCTTCACGGACAGAAACAGAGCCCCAACAGGGCCTCTAACAGAAGACCACTTGGACGGCTGCCGGCTAGTGTTCTCCAACATTCTGGCCCAAGGCATCCTCAAAGACGGAACAACAAATAATACAGAAAAGAATGGCATCGTCCAGCCCATATCTCCTTGCTCCAACGAACATTGGGCGCAACAGCAGCATACCGACATGAATCATCGCCGCGAACAAGGGCTGACGAGAGCGACCTGCCTCCCGTTCGGGCGTAGACATTTACCTGCTTGACCCCGAATGATATCCAACTCCCTGTTGCTAATCCCGTGCGCCTCCGCCCCACACGTGTAGCCAGGTAATGGACCACTCGCAAAAAGACGCCGAGTGGCGGAACCAAGAAAGTGTTGCTGGCGGGCAAAGACGCTTGACACGGGCACGGAAATGAACAGCTCGCGTCGTACGTCTGACAGCTCTGCCCCTGAAACTCAAGGGTCGCCCAGACGTATCATCGATCCCAAGGTTCACCGCCGATTCTTCAAGTCCCTTTCCAGACACTCCCTTCAACCAGCTCTCAAGATATTTACCCACCTTCGAACAGCTGGCAGCCAACCCCGTCTGTTCAGGAGCAATCGCAAGACCTGAATCGACAGTGATGGAACGATAGCCAGCACTGGCGCCAGAAGTGAGGCCAGCGATCACCTTACTGGCACTACCGCGAGCTGAGAGACCAATGTCACCACCGATGTACAGATCCGTGCTCACATGAGGGGAAAACACATGCTGCAGAACTCCTGCATGTAGAAAATGCGAACGACAGTGGTAGCCATACTACATCCAGCGATCACTCCCCTGGGAGCCCCAACATACGGACCGTCCAAGAAGCCAGAGTAGCTGGAGGAAGGGGATCAGGGCAGGATCGCACGTCCCATGGCAGTGCCGTCAACTGACTGTCAAACGAGTGCCGCATGCCGTATTGACATGTGGTGAGCATAGCTGCCGAGCTTCGAAGGGGTTACCGCAAGCTCGGCACGGACCTTATGGAATGTAGAGTGCGCTAAACTGACAAGCTCGTGGGCACTGTCGATCGTGAGATCGGTGCATGCAGATTCCTCCTCCGTCCCGAGGCCGTGCCACAGGATGGGGGGGACGGTAGGAATGTGCAAGCGAGACAACGCAATCATGTGAAGCAAGCGGGGGCAGGACAGGCAGTGGAGGAACGAGGCGGGGTGGCCAGGGCAGCCAAACCTGCAGGGCAGCGGAGCGAGGATCTCTACCCTGTGGCTTGTGCTCCACACTCCCGCGAGGGTTTTCAGGTGAGACCACACTTTGCACGGCCGAGAGCGTGGCAGGACTTGACGCAGCGAATGTCACCTCGCCTGCACAGCGGCGAGAGACAGCGGTTCGGGAGTGAACCACGTCTTGAGCCTTCGATGTATCATCTCATGCAGTTGATCTGGGAATTCCAAGCGCACTAGCTGAGCGATGAAAGCGCCTTGAGGTCCCTGTCCCCCACTCCCACGACGCAGACGACGCAGGGGATCAGGGCAGGAAGAGGAGGAGGAGGATGGGGAAGGAAGGAGGAACCGTACATTTACAATAAGTTCAAACCCCTGCGGCGTAAGATGCCCCCCCGTACCCGCAAAATTCACATTGAGGGTGCGGCAACGTGGGGGGCTCGAGTGGACATAATTAGTCGAATCCCAGAATCGTCGCCCCTACTGAAATCAACATTGATTTCGAGGGTGGGTGGATCAGAATTTGACGGTTCGAAAAATATTGTCTTAGTTTGCATCATGTTCAGAACGACCCCTGACAAACCAAAGACCACTATGATCAGGGGGAGAAGGTCAGACAGGCACACGACGGGGACACATCGCGACCAGAGACTCTAAGAGAGTTCCAAAGAAAAATGAAACGACGTTTTGTGGAGCGCTGCGACCGCACTCACAGAACGAAGAGGGAAATCGAGTCCGTGAGGAACTCAACGGAAACGTTGGCGTTCAACTAGATCGTTGAGGGCGGTTGGGAAAACCAAATTTGCGTAGGCATCGGTAGTGGGGGCGCGGCTTGCACAGGGAGTGCGATAATATTCGAGTTTCGGGCGCGGACGCGCCCAGTCGCCAAGCTGGTCTCCGCATCTGGGCCGCGTCGTTGGACAGCCTGTCGCGCCTGAAACGCATGGCGCTCCTGTCGCACGTGGCGCGCCTGATCCACCTGGCGCACGTGGCCCACTGATCGCGCGCTGCACACCTGCTGCGCATGGAGCACTTAGCGAACCCAGCACGCGCGGCACATCCAGCGCACCGGGCTTGCACGGTGCACCCTGCCCCTGGCGCACGTTGCCCACCTGGCGCGCCTGGCGTGCAATAGCCAGCCCAGCGCTGACCTGCTCGCGCGCGCTGCGCAACCCATCCCGCGGACCTGTGCACTGTACTATCCGCCACCTCTGTCCAATTCAAGGATCGCCCTGTAATGCTCAGGCAGCCCCGGACTACCCCCCGACATCTTAGTGTTTGTTGGACATCATCAGCAAGTCTTCTGCATTGGACCGTTCCGCTCCTCTTGGGGGGTTATTGCACTGTCTTGGTGCCCCCTTGGGCCATTTGGGGGCCTTCTTGGAGGCACCTCTTGGGACCGGCTTGGGCCCCTCGCGGATCCTCTCGAGGCCACCCTGGAGGCCCTCTTGGGGGAGGCCCCCGCCCCAGGCCCCTCATTCCATCTTCTTAGATTCCCTCCCAACTCTTCTG